CAGGGCGTTATTTTATTCGTTGCTGCGGTGCAGTCGATGCACAAAGTTTTCATAAACGTTGCTCGTGGGCACGAACGCGCGCCTCTCTCTCTCTCTCTCTCTCCTCTCATCCTCGCTTCGCCTCGCCTCGCCTCGCGCGAGCGCGAGAGCGCTCTTCCGCTTCCTCTCTCGCTCGCAGCATGCGGCAGACAACGGTTAATCAATGGGCTTCAAGCGCAGGCTCGCATCCCGGGATCTTTCCTGATGGACAGCGGCAACAGCAGCAACAACACGCGCCCCTCTAGGGGAAGAAGGGTGGGGAGGATGGGCCGGGGAGGGGGGAAGGAGAGCGAGAGCGATAAAGTGCGAGGGGGAGGCGAGAGGAGGAATATCGAGAGAGTTAGATGGAGGGGAAGAAGAGGGTGGTGGAGCGAGCGAGCGGGACGGCGAGAGCGCCGCGGGCGCGTAAAACTAGCAAACAATTTAAACTCCCCTTTCAAGTCGCGGCTTTGTTTATGCGAACGAAAATAATTCGTCTGCGTGTCTGTCTGCGCGCGCGAAAATAACCGGATATGTATCCGGGACGCGGGCGCGCGAGTATACTTTTGTTCGCTCGTCCCCGCAGGAGGACGGAGTCCTCCGCGAGCTGACGCGAGCGACGGGGAAAATCGCGTCTATTTTTAACGGGATTATCGAGACGTGTCTTAAGGGGGGAGGCGGCGGGCGGACTGCAAATCCAGAGTATATATTCGGCCGTGGAGCGAGATGTAAATTTATTTTTGGCGAATTCGCCACGGCTTTGCGAGGATTATAGCCGGGGATGGGGAGAGTTCCTCCGTTGTTTGCCGTGGATGGGATGCAGTGGACACACCGCAGTGCTTTATAACGCAGAAGCGAATCGATGGAATCCGTCGAGAATTCAATCGGCGAGAGTTGCACGAATGACGGGAAAGACGGCTCATTTTCCTAACGTGTAAGTGATCTCTCGGCAGCGTACATTTTTTCGCGAATTACAGCAGCGCGAACAGTCGATTAATTCGAGTAGAACGCGGTGAAATTTTTTGTCTCGACCCTCCTCGAAAAAAGAGAGGAATGAACATAAAAACCGGCGTCATACGTCGAGCCGAGCGAAATGACCTCCGAGGGGAAACAATCGGTAAGGAAGCTGAGCCGAGACGAGAGAGGAACTCTCTACACCGCTCTCTTTCTCTTTCCCTCCCTTCCTGTCTCTCTCTCTCTCTCTCTCTCTCTCTTTCTCTTTCTCTCTCTCTCTCTCTCTCTCTCTCTCTCTCTCCCTCTCTTTCGGCAAAGTTAGTCCCGTAGTCGCGAGGCCTGTCGGTCTCGCCGTCAAGTAAGAGAATTACTTTCGAACTCGTAGACCGATAAAACCGGGCCCTCCTCATTCGCCGCGCGGACTCTCCACGGACTCGGCGGGACCTAAAAACTTTCCTCCACTCGTAAATGAGCCGGTTGTTCCCCCTCGTTGGCCGCCCTCCGGACTGCCCAGTTTTACGATCCATTTGCATCCGGCCTTAAAAGTGCCGTCAAAAGAGTCTCGCAATTAAAGGCACGCTCGCTTATATACGCGTCTTCCTCGCGGCGTGGATTTCGAGTCGCCGTCGTTCTCGAAAATCGCTGCCTCGCCGGATGCTGTCCGCGAAGATCTCCTCCCGGCTTTCTCTTTCTCCCTCGATCTCTCCCTCTCCTTTTCTCGAAAACTCTCTCTCTCCGTTTCACCCGCCCATGGTTCGTCCATCGTGCATCGGCGTCGAAACCGCGTCCTCCGCAATCGTCGATTGTTATTCTCACGACATTCTCCGCTCGTTCGCCGCGTGTCGTCCTCTCGACACGCTCCGTCCTCCCGAAAGAGGACGGCCGGGATTTCGCGGGCAGCGTTCGGCACGGTTTTTAGACGGGCAACGAGTTGGCCGCGCAAAATTGGACGGACCCGTGCAGGGAGGAGGGGGGAGATCGGTCGGCGGCCAGATGGACGACATAGGTGCACCGGCCGCACGTAGCGCACTCGCACGGAATGAGGGAGGCAAGAAAAATGCAAGAAAAGACGAGCGTGGAGGGGAGAAGAGCGGGGACGAGAGCGAGGGCGGGCAAAACTCCGGCGAGATTGGATCCCTGAAAGTGGTTCGCGCTAGCCCCAGCTGATTACCAGTTTCGTTGATGGATTCTTAGACCCCTTCGGCTCTCGTTGAACTCCCTCGCGCGCGGCCCGAGCCACCGTGGGGCGTCCCTCGTCCACCCTTCGTCGACAATCGCTCTGCGCGTTCTCCCTGGGGATATCACCCTGGGCGCGAGCGCGAGGCTTTACGGTCGTTTTGAACAAACGACTTCGCACAACGCGCGACATCTCGCTCGTGATCATTTAGGCGCAGGCTGCGTGCTCAAGAGGCTTCTTGAGGTTCGCGTGCGTTCTTCTTGACGCCGGAGGCTGCCTGCTTGAATGCACGCGACCAAAGCACGGAACGGCGCCGAAGCTTGTAAAGTTTCGCGCTTGTGTGTTTTTCAATGTGTTTTCGACATCGCCGCACTCTCCCTCGTCAGCGTACGTCAGATGTGAACGCGCAAGGTTGTCCGTGAACTTCTATTTTTCCGATCGCGTTTCGGTAGGAAACCAATCACGAGTGTGTTCTGCGAGTGATCAGCAGCTTGCGGAAGGATGTTGCACGCGAATGCGCGGAACTCGCGAAGACGGAGCGATATTCGTGATATACACGCGAAAATAGAGGGCCAGCCGCGCGCAACTCGAGGGGGAATCTAATAGAGCGATCGGGAGAATGAATAAAATTAAAATAAAAACCCCAGAGACCGATCTCAAAACACACGCCATCGCGCGCGCGTTCGCTCGTTCGCGCTAACTCAGCTTGCAGCCTGTCGGGAAAAAAAGCAAACAAATTCTGCGCTGGCGAAACCAATTATTTCGCGGAATGCAACTTGCGGTTCATTTAACGCAACGCGGATACCTGATATTTTATATAAAATCATCCGTACCGCGCGTACATGCGCGCACACACACACACACACACACACACACACACACACACACACATACACACACACACACACACCCGGGCTCAAATCAGTTGCGACCACCGCAGTGACTGCACTTTTGCCGCACTGTCGCTCCACCAATATTGCTCGCGACTTTTTTAACAATTTTCTCGTGTTACCTAAAAGTATGACTCTCGACTCGGACGCCTATCGCCGTTCATAACCTATCGTGTTATATCGCTGGCGTCATCGTTTGCCACTCGCGTGCTTTTTTTCAGCCCGCTGATGAGCCCGATGATGCGCTAAAATATGCTCACGATATTCCTAGTTATTTCAATCGCGATTTTGGCCAAAGCAGCATTAGCGTGATGCTTTGCCTCTGCGCTGTAGTAAAGAAAGATCTCTCGAAAGGAACAGGAACTCTCGAGCAGGAAAAAGAATAACTGGCTTCAATCGAGCGAGACGAGCTCGATTTCAGGGCGGCGAACTAATCGTCCTGATTCTTTGAGCGAAATTTTCGCACTTTCCTTGTCGATCCGACTCGGTTGCAGTTTGTGCGACAAATTCGCCAAATTCTGAGGCCGTGTTCTTTTCGTTCGATACTCCCGACGAGATTGGTCGGCAAATGGTTTATTCGAAACTTCCTCTCTCGGATTTTTCAAAACGTAAATATATTTCCCTAATGTACATTATGTCGAACACCAAGCGAATTCGTGAAACTCGCACGACTGTGCGCGTATCGCCGCTTTTTTGCGCGCTCGCTCTTACGATCGATCTGCTGACTCAGCGAGGCGGAATCGGACGCTTAGAGCGGCCTCGGAGCCTAAATTTCGTGCCGAAAATTGGATCGTTGCCGCATGCTCTTTTGTTAATAATTTCGCGCCGGCCGGGCCGACCGGTCGGCGTGCGGCGCCGAAATCGAGTTAAACGCGAATCGAACGCGATGCTTGAAACCGCGATTACAGTCAAGGATGGGCGAACGCCGCTGTCGATTAATTAACCAGCGGTACTTAATCGCGTTACGCACACGCGCGCACGGGAGGAACGAGTTGGAATTTTCCATCTTACGGGGTCGTATGTATAATCGAATATCAGGTGCAACTTCTGACACGAGCTTCTACGACAGCTTCCCGCGAATCTCTCGCCCGCTTAAAGAGTAATCTGCAGCCACGCCGAAATTGTCTCCGTTAACTGTTCTTCATTAGCAAATTGGCCGGTAAAGGTCGGCATCTCTCATAAAACATATACCGTAGCGAAAAGTTTTCGAACTAATTTGTAGTAACTTCCTGCCTCGTACAAGCGAGAGAAGAGAGAGAGAGAGAGAGAGAGAGAGAGAGAGCTCCCTTATATTAAATAAAAATTTCAGTAATGGCATTCTCCGTAGCGTCGCGCAGCGTCAGTTCAATCTGCGATGATTACATTCTCCAGTCGGATGTCACTGAAGGCTCACAGCCAGCCAACTATCCGTAAGAACTCCTTTTTAATATTGCACGCTCTCTCATTCTCGATATATATATATATATATATTTGCCCCCATTAAAAGGGACCTCCTATTATTCAGTCTACGAGTTGATGATCGCGTTACCTCCCGAGTCGCTCGCGTACGTTCGCCCGTCCGCTTCGGACGACGGAGTCGCTCCTCGAGAGCGCGCGTGACGCCACACAAAACGATGAGCGTTCGATCGATTCGCGCGATGGCGTTGGTGTTACAGCGTACATCTACGATCTATCTCTATTATGTACAAGGCGCGAAGATATTACACAGTAAAGGCACATGTTCGCTGTTGGTGCGGAGGTCGCTCGTAAGCTCGCGAGATCTCCTCCGAAGCGATCAAGCTCCGCACGAGAAGCAGAGTGACGCGCGAATCGCTCGCGAATTCCCGTGAGTTTTCGCTCGTTTTCGCTGAGACTTCGCTCCAAGATCACACCGGGGAAATTACAGATGCGTATAACCGTTCGCTCGCTCCCTTTCTTCCTCCCTCCCTCCCTCCCTCCCTCCCTCCCTCCCTCCCTTTCTCTCCTCCATCTCTCTTTCACAACAAGTAGCTAATTAACGCCACGAGCTGGTGCGCTGCGTCCGAGGACGCCGCCGTTGGCCGCTTTTCTTGTTCGTCCAGTTTCCCCGCTTTTCTTCTGCCGCCGGAAAATCACGGCCGTCCGCTCGCGGCGGAATCGACGCGGCGCGGCGCGGCGTGGCGCGTATCGTCGCGCTCACCCGCGCACGTATTCGTTTATTGGCATGTGCGGCGACAGCTCGTCGCGTGACGATCGCTTTTCAGATCGCGCGACGCCGCGGCCGACCGGCCGTAACAATATCGCGATCGGACGACACGCCATTACTAATTGCCGGTGAGCCCGCCGTTGTCACACTTCGCCCCGGCATCACGCGTGCACAATCATATTATCAGATATTGATTTCCGGAGGCATCGACTTTCACGCGTCGCGACTCGCCGCCAGCGAGCGCCATTTTTTCGCCCTTTATGCGCGCCGCGTCATTGTCGCGAGAGTTCATTTTTCCGCTCGGATAATTACTCGCGCTCGCCAGCCGGCCCTTTTGTCCGCTCCCGTGCCATCGGTGCGCGAATCTCACCGGTCGCGGGGAAGAGCGGAATCGAAGAGCCGAGCGTGTTTCGCGACCTGGTTTCTAGACTCTCTTCTCTGTAATTCGCCTTCCGGAATCGCAGCAGCGCGTTAATCTCTTCGGGCAACACGAGCGTGTTAGCACATCGGCGGCGAGAGCTTACATTTTCAAGCGACGTGAGTATAACATTGGTCGAGCGGCGGGGTCTCTCCTCTCGTCATGTCGGCCTCGAGCTGAAGAGCTCATTCGCGATGACATCGCCCGTCGCGGACGGTGTTTTCATTTCGAAGAAACCGAACGCGTATTTAAACGTAACGTCAACAATCACTGGAGAGAGCGCTTCAGGATTATCTTAACAGCGTCTGGCCGGACTACGTCGACGCGGCCGCAGATCGGCGCATAGAGATTTATGCGACCCTTTAGATTTATCGCGATCCTTGCGATCAGAATCGTTCTCACGGCGAAACGCGCGAACGATACTTTCGCCAATTTCGCCGGGCGATCGATAAATATAAAACTACCGCGCTGCGACGTCCGTCGAGTAGATTATAGCGTCGTCTTCGCCTTAGTCTTCGTCGTCGTCGTTCGACCAGTCGTGCCCGGGTTTGATGATCGCTTAAGGAGCCACTCGGTTGACTCTCCTCGCACAGGTGTGCCCGTGGCACGTATCGGCCGGGCCGGTGGCTCTCACACTTGCGCCGTAACGATCAACTTCCGAAGCTTCTTATTCTCTGGAGGCGAGACGACGTTCACTCGTGAAGCGCCGACGAAGAGTGAGCGAGCGAGAGGGTGCCGCGTCTTGAACGCGATCTCATCAACGATTAAGAACCGCATCGGGGCTACAGGATGGACGCTTTTCCAGGTCTCGGCTGCCGGCAGAAGGGAGGACGGACCGCGCTGCTGCAGACGGAAGTCGCGCGCGCTCCACCTCCGCTTCCTCTTTTATTGACGCAGCGGTGCTCATCCGACTCGAGCGGCCGCTCGATTCCTCTACTTCGCTCCCGAGCGAGCGAATGTTCTCTCGTCTTCGACTGATCGCGCTTCGGTATTCATTGGGCAAAGATTTATCCGCGCCAGGTAATCTCTCCCGGAGCGCCCCCGCTCCCGCCATCTGTTCGTCCTCCGCGATTCAGCGGCTCGAGTGCGCTCTCGAGGAGTGACTCGTCGCGACGTATCGGCGATGTTCGCCACTCGACCTTCCGGTAGTCGCGCAGCAGCCGCCGATTGTCCGCCGGATAATCTCTCACCGTTCGTCTCCCGTTCGCGAGACAGTAATCGTCGGATGTCCTCTCTCTCTCTCTCTCTCTCTCTCCCCCCCTCCCCCCCGTGCCTTTTCTCTTCCTCGTTCTGCGCAGGATCTCCCCGTATCCTTTGAAAGTTCCGCCGTCGCGACAGGGCCGGACGTAAATCGCGACAGCGCCTCGCGAGCTCATCTCAGTCGGTGATGGAATAGTTAAGCTATCGCGATTGGCGGCTGATTGGCGAGAGGTTCTCAGCAGCCGACGAGCACAAGCATGACTGATAGCGACTTGTCGAAAAGGGAAAAACGTGTTGCGGTCTGCGTCGCGTGTAGCGCGCGCGTACGTTGTGTGTGTGTGTGTGTGTGTGTGTGTGTGTGTGTGCGTGTGTGTGCGTGTGTGTGTGTGTGTGTGTGTGTCTGGCTGGTGGCCGTCGGTATTTTTCGGGAGCACCGTTTGCGCGTCGTGTTTTCTCTCTCGACGGCGCTTTTTGCGATTTCCGCATCGCGCGAGGGGGTGGTATTTTCCATATCAGGCAACCACGATCGCTCTCTTCTTCTCCTTCTCCCCCTTCTCTTCGTATCTTGCTCTCCCTCGCAGTGGTCTCTTCTTCTTCTCTCTTCGTCCCGGGACGACGTATATATCGCGTGCCATCTCCCCGCCCCCTTCATTTCCTACGCACGAAGATATTTTCCAGAAGCTCCTTCGTGATCAGCCGGTGGGGTCTGGTCGGGCTCTCGGTGGGCGTACCGTAAAGTCGACTGTTGATGGCGTAGAGCTTCGGGCTGAGCTCGCACCTCACGTTGAACCACCAGTCGCAGACGAAGACCGCTTGGCTGAATTGCGTGCCGTTCGGACAGAGAAACGTTGCCTGTCGGCCGTCTATGTCGCAATAATGCCACGCCTGGCATCTCGTCTCTACGTCGGCGAAGAAGCCGGGGAAGGACTGGTCGTCGCAGTAGAAATTCGTGTAGGGCACCTTGCCCAGCACCGGGTAATCCGTGCCTGGCCGACCTGCAATTCAATCATCAACACCGTCAGCAACCCGGTCGAGCGTGCTTGATGCGTTTTTTTACCGAGGGCGGGGGTAGGAAAAACGGTTTCGCAATTAGAAGACTTGTAACGAGCCGTAGAATAGATACACTTTTTACATTATTAACGAGCAGGCACTTGCGATGAGGTGAGGTGGATAATTATATTTGGAGCAGCCTCTCCGTGCGAGGCTGCTTCAAACGCCGCGCCTCATCATCGTTCGCTCCACCCTTCCGATATCGTTCGATTCGTCGGCCTAAATAATTCACGGATTATTCCGGCTGTAATTTCGACGCTTACGAATTCCCTTTGCGCGAAATCCGTGAGCCGGCATAAAGCACCGAGCGATTTCCACGAGTTAGCTGCTTAAATGAGCGAGTGAGCGAGCGAGCGAACAGAGGGGTCAAACGAGTATCCGGTCGTGGCCGCGTTCTTTACCTTTTCTCGAAATCCGTTTATATCTGTTCGTTGCTTTCGCAGCCACGCTCAAATCTCATTCGGAAGATTGTGCGCGCTCGCCAACTTTATCAGACAACGGCGCGAGCCTGTATATGCGTGCGTGCGTGCGTGCGTGCGTGCGTGCGTGCGTGCGTGCGTGCGTGCGTGTTGCCAGAAGCGAAGAAACGTAATATTTTGTTCAGATAAAGCCTCAAACGCGAGGCGGGCCTGGGAAGGCTGGGGGAATGTTTCCAAAGGCGGAAATTTCTTTCGAGGGTTCCCAAGAATTTCCCAACAATCGCCATCAACCGCGTGATTCGCGTTTTATATCCCGGTCACATGGCGCGTGAAAATTCTCTCCACCCCCTGCGAAGGAGGTCTAATTCCACGGTTTACACCTTTCCGCGAATTACGCGGCCGAGGAACTTCATCATCCGCCGGCGCCTTCCCCGACGTCATCCGCCCCGTGTCGCTCGGAGTCTTTCTCGTTCTCGCGATCGAACACGAAAAACATCCTTAATTTAATACTCGGCGTTAGCAAGCGTAAGCAAGCGATCTTCCGGCGGGATCACGGCGCGAAGAGAGAGGGCGGTATCGCGATCAAAAGAGGTAGAAACAAAGGGTAGACAACTTGAAGCGATTCGCGTCGGGGCTGAAAGAGGCTGCGAGGCGCATTAAGACGCCGCTAAAAGAGCCCAAGGAAGCGCCCTCGGCGTCCTCCACCCGCACCCTCCGCCTCTCTTCCGCCACTTTTCCGTCCTCGTCGTTTCTCGCTCGGCACCGGCCTCGGCGGGAAACGAAATAATTAGACCGACACGGTGCGCGAGCACACCTACGAAAGGGGTGAATAGCTCGAGAACGAGAATACGTTCGACGGTGTCGCCGTCACCGTCGCCGTCGCCGTCGCCGTCGCCGTCGCCGTCAACGACGTCGTCGTCATCGTCGTCGTCGTTGTAGATTCTACCGAAGTTATAATTACGCGGACCCAAGCACAGACCCGACGAGGAAACGAGAGCGAGCGAGACAGAGAACGGGAGAGACAGAGAGCGAGAGAAAGAGATGGGAGGGAGAGAGGAAACGAGAGATGGGCAGAGGGGATGATAGAGGGTTGAAGCAGCGAGAGCGGAAGCGAGACGGCGAGCGTTTATTCCGTGCGGGTACACGGAATCTCTTTCGCTGACAAAACAGGTCGGACAAGCGGCGCAAGGTGCGAATTTCGTATGGATGTCGGTACGATACGGGGTCGAGTTTATGCGACCGTGTTGGCAGGTGCACGTTTCGTATACGCTGTTGGGGTGTTGCGCGCGCGTACAGGCTGGTCCATTTCGTCGGCCGCATCGGTATTCGTCGAGGCGTTCGAGAATCGACTTCTCTCTCTCTCTCTCTCTCTCTCTCTCTCTCTCTCTCTCTCTCTCTCTCTCTCTCTCTCTCTCACACTCATTCTCACTCTCACTCTCACTCTCTCTGTCTCTCTGACCAATTCGTGATTTTAAGCCAACTTGAACAAACAACTTGTCGCCAGTCGACGCGACAGTTTCTTGACGTGGTAATAAGAGAGTCGCTGAAACAGGTTGCCGATCGCACGCAGTTCGCCGCATGCGCGTAAATGCGCGATTGCAATTGGCCGCGGTTTACTTGTCCGACTGGAAAAACGCGACCTGGCCGTGACATTTCAGCTAACATTCGTGGACGCTAACGACTCGTGAAAACCGGATAAGACTAGCTCGGGCGACGCGCGCGGAACAACATTTGCGTTCGCAGAGCATTCATCGGCAAGATTGACGAAATATTTTCGCGGTATTTAGGTCTTTCCTTCCTCGGGAAAGGCATTCTCCAGGGTGTTTATTCCGCTTGATTTGAGAACGGCGTTGTTATACGTTTGCTTTGGGGCACCCGGTACGGCTTCCATGTCCTTCTCCCTGCGAAGGACGTCTCGTTGTTGTTTCGCCTTCGTCGCACGCTCTCGACAGTATTCCCGCCTGGCGAAACTAAGCTTGTCGTCCGATGAGATTCGAATAACTGCGTGGCCAGACAGAGGTGCGAAGGGGTAGGCAAGGCGGGCGACAAAGAGAGCGAGAGAAAGAGGGAGATCGGGCTGCTGAGAGATAGAGAGGACAGAACGGTGGGGGTTGCTCGCGCGAGTCCCGGGAACAAGGCGGGATGTTATATCGACGCAAAACTGTTTAGACAGGTATACCCGCGCTCGCGAGACAAAACCAAGCGGTCTCCTTGTAATAGTTAAGGGGTTCTTCCGCGCCGGCAAAATTGGAGAGCGACTGCGCGCCCGTAGAAACGACAACCACAACGACGAGGACGACTTGTCGTTTGTCGCCATTATTTGCTTGATATTTTACACGTCCTAATGTCAGTAGAACTGCGTGGATTAATCAGGAATTTGGATAATAATAGTTATAACGGTAATAACGCGCATCGAAACGCTTTTCGATGCAAAGCGCTAACTTTGAGTAGCAGTCGCTTTCGATCGCTCTCAGAAACGAAAATCTGAGAGAAGAATCTTGGGAGAAAATTTCGGAAAATATTATCGGAGAAGGCGTGTCGCTCCACGTCGAAACTAAAGGTTGACGTTAACAAACTCTCCTCGCGAAGGCCTCGCGATAATCGCGGACGTGAGCGTTCAGGACGCGGATTCCTGCAAGATGGCTCGCGAGAGGGATGGGCTTTTGCACGCGAAGTGCGTTTTATGGCGCAGGAAACGGCGCACTCGCCGTCCATACACCCGGAGCGCGGTTTCACTCGCGTAGCTAACGAGGTAATTCTCTCAATAAGCGACGACCCTCTTTTTAATCTCCTTTAGCAATCGGAGAGAATGCTGGTCGCCCCCGGTCCGTAGCGAGTACTTCTTAGCATTATTTTAAGGGAACCATGCAGGCTCAGCGATTCCGTTCTTACGAATTTTACGTCTTGGCACGCGACCAAAGTCCCTCCCCCCCTCACTCTCTCTCTCTCTCTCTCTCTCTCTCTCTCTCTCTCTCTCTCTCTCACCCTCACCCGTTCTTTCTCTTCCTCTGCGCACGACGAGGTCTTGTTATCTTTACCGCCGAGAGACCTGGGCGCGCTCTCCTCTCGCGTGTAATCTTATAAAATCTCCCGCGTCTCCTTTTCGGAAGTAAAACACGAATCTTCAAAATCAAGGCTCGCCGCACCGTCGCGAAGCTAAACGTCGTACGTCGTTTCCGGAAACGCCGCGGGGGCTCCTCGCTGCCTTTCCCCTTGCCAGCGTGCGCACTTTACTTAACTTTTCCACGGGACTTCTTACCGAGATTTGTTTCGCCTGGCCGACCCAGCGCGCCTCGAACAACGATCGAGCGGAATCAAGGGAATCGTATTTTTCCGAAGGAAACTCTCACGATTCGGAAGATATCCCGCGCGACGTTTCCGCCGAAACGCGATGTGTAATAATTCACACCGCGCGGCCAGACCTCGCGCGCTACTTCTGCGAAATAACGGAATGAGTCCTTGATCGTGTTTCTATTAGTGCAAACAATTGTTTCGGATGTTGCCTTGATGGTCCCTTGATATCGCTGACAAAAGCGCTGACAAAAGCGCTCCTCTTCGTTCGCCGGCGACGACGACGACGACGACGACGACGACGACGACGTCGGCGACAATCCCCTCTTCGCGCTTGTTGGAGTCACGCGAGAACACCAAGTGCGTCGTCGCAAAGTCGATATTCCGCGCGAGACGAATCGCGAGCTCTGCCCCGGACGTATCGGAAGATGCAATGAAAAGTTCACGTAGAGACTTGGAGATCGCGCGCCGGGGAAACTTCTGTCTCGAATTACTCAGGCAGAATAAATAAGCAAAACGGGGTATACACGAATCAGAGGATCTCTCACTATCCTTCTCTCTCTCTCTCTCTCTCTCTCTCTCTCTTTCTCTCTCTCTCTTTCTCTCTCTCTCTCTCTCTCTCTTTCTCCTTCCCTCCCCGTATCTCTTCATCCTCGGCTGCCTGCCTTTCTTCCTCGCTTCTTTCGCTGTGTAGCAACTCCTAACGAGTACCAACGATAATAGACACTCTCTCGCCCGCCGCCGGTCGTTCCCCGTTGACGTCATTATTATCACCGACAATTACGAAGACATCGAGCTGCATTCGCACGCAGGATTATACCTCCTGCCTCGCTTTCACCTCGGCGAGTCAGATGGTAACGTCGAAGAAGATGGTAACGTCGCGTCTTGGCGAACGAAACTCGGGACGCGACTCGCACGATTCAAGAACCGGTCTTTCCGTCGTCACACGTACACACATACACACATACGTGGTGATGAAGGCGGGAGGAAAGGAACGACGTCGAAGCTCGCTCCTCCATCCGAGATTCAAAGATCCGCTCGCTCGCTCGCTCGTCACGTCGTGACGCCACGCCGCCGAGGTGGCGCTCGCACAGGCGGCAGCCGTCAAGGGTTGATTAACCCTTTGCAAGGCGAGAGACATGTAATTAGCTAACGACTTATCCGAGATAACGCGATCGTTAACCCAAAGTTACGCGACGAAACTCGGCGCCGCGCCGCGCCGCGCCGCGCGCCAC